CTGGCTTTTTGGGCCAGTTCTTGACTGGGACTCTGGTCTCAGCAGAAGGAAGAGAAGAGTATAACTCACTGGCCTGAGCCCTCGGTGACGCAAAAGCCCCAGCATGTTCTCCAGCACAAAGAGCAGGAAGATGCCTCCGAGCACAGACAGCCCTGGGCCCAGGTCCTCCTCTGGTAGTCCACCAGGTCCTGTGTGCCACCCTTCTTGTGCCTGACAGAGTAAAGGTCAGGGCAGACCCTGGAAGCTCCTATACCCGACAGCATCCCCTTCACGCATGGGTAGTGGCAAACCTTTGCTCATATGCTCTAGTAGAAGGCAGCCATGGGCTCAAGCCAGGGTCCAGGAGTAGGATGTGGGAGCTGATGGAAAGGGAGAGGGGATGCCCTACAGCTGGGGACACCTTAGATCCATGGAGGCCATCCTCCATTGGGGACAGGGGTACAAGGAAGGGGTTTCACATACATGTGGCAGCAGGTGTAGGAGTGCATCCCCACAAAGAGTGCCCACAGCCAGGGCCCCCAGGAAGCCCAGCAGGGGCCGCAGTAGACGAGGTCCCAGGAGCCGCAGCAGCAGCAGGGATAGGGGAGAAGGGAGGCTGAGCAACAGGACTGCCAGGGCACTCTGAAGCAGGGCTGGGGAGAATCAGGGGCTGAAGTTAGATCAGGGCCAGAGGAGGGCTCCATACGTAAGGTGGGACAGAGAACACTCCAAGGAGAGTCAGGACCCCAGTGAGCCTCCTTCCTTGGCATGGGCCCCAATTCCAGGATTCAGGGTGCCCCCCACCCACTCCTACTTGCTGACCAGATAGTAGATCCCCTGGGGGTGCAGGGGCTGGAGCTCCTATGCAGACACGGCTGTCGATCTGATAAAGCAGGGCTGGACACAGCAGAGCAAACTGACGAGGGGTCAGAGGAACAGCAGGGCTCAGGCCAAAATTGACCAGTAGCTGGGAGCCATTCAGACACTAGGGGAGTTGAGGGTCATACATTGGAGAATCACCAGGAACTATGACTCAGATCTTTTAACACCTGGCCAGGTGCAGTGGCTCACACCTGTAATCCCAGCACTTGGGAGGCCGAGGCAGGCTGATCACCTGAGGTCAGGAGCTCGAGACCAGGCCAACATGGCGAAACCCTGTTTCTACTAAAAATACAAAAATTAGCTGGGGATGGTAGTGAATATCTATAATCCCACTACTTGGGAGGCTGAGGCAGGAAAATTGCTTTTACCCGGAAGGTGGAGGTTGCAGTGAGCCGAAATAGTACCATTGCACTCCAGCCTGGGTGACAGAGTCAGACTCCACCAAAAAAAAAGTGATATTTAACACCTGTCCTTCCATTGCATAGCCTCCTGGGTCTCTCCTAGGGTCCCCTTTGCTCCTACTAGAAGGTCCCGTGGGGACTGGAGCAATGGTACTTATAATCAATGTGTATTAATTATTAGTGGATATTCAATCCAATGCAGACACTCAATTCAGTACAAACTGGGTGCTAGTGAGCATTGTCCTCACTATCCTGGCTAAGCATTTTTAGTAGAGACAGGGTTGGTCTTAAATTCCTGACTTCAGATGATTCACCCGCCTTGGCCTCCCAGAGTGCTGGGATTATAGGTGTGAGCCATTGGGCCCGGCCTTTTTTATTTTTTATTTTTTTGAGACAGAGTTTCACTCTTCTTGCCCAGGCTGAAGTGCAAATGGCGCAATCTTGGGTCACTGCAATCTCTGTCTCTCAGATTTAATGGACTCTCTCATCTCAGCCTCCTGAGTAGCTGGGATTATAGATGCCTGCCACCACACCCGGCTAATTTTTGTATTTTTTAGTAGAGATGGAGTTTCACCATGTTTGCCAGGCTGGTCTCCAACTCCTGGCCTCAGGCGATCAACTCACCTCAGCCTCCCAAAGTGCTGGGATTACAGGTGTGAGTCACCCCTCCTGGCCCAACTACTGATTATTTAAACACTTCAGCCCATCTAATCCCATGGCTCCTTCCCCCTCTAGAGACCATCAGACTCACATCCTCATTCAGGTGGTCAGCCAATGAGTGGTCCAGCAGCAGAAGCCTGTGAAAGAGGTCCAGGCCCGAGGGGGCTGGCCCACGAGGTAGGTGAGGGGCCTTTGACTCTTCCAGGTCACCCCACCCTGAGGGACCCAGAGGCATCCCTGCCCAGATATCCACACTCAGCTCAGGGTTCTGCAGCCTGGAATGGATGAGATAGCATGTCAGCCTCCCTTGTGTCCTATCGACCCACTTTGAGAGGCTCCCAGGGAGCTTAGGGGAGAAGGGGGAACCAGCCACTGGCTGGAGATCCTGGGATGCAGAAACCATGGAATGTCATTCTTAGGAAGATCTGAGAGTTATCCATTTTCTGCCACTGGGGTGACAGAAGACAAAAGGAGGACAACTGAAACGGCTACTAATGGCTGGGCACGGTGGCTCACACCTGTAATCCGAGCACTTTGGGAGGCCAAGGCATGTATGTTACCTGAGGTCAGGAGTTCAAGACCAGCCTGACAAATATGGTGAAACCCTGTCTCTACTAAAATTACAAAAATTAGCTGGGTGTGGTGGTGTGTACCTCTAGTCCCAGCTACTTGGGAGGCTGAGGCAGGAGGATTATTTGAACCCGGGAGGTGGAGCTTGCAGTGAGCCGAGATTGTGCCATTGCACTCCAGCCTGGGTGACAGAGTGAGACTCTGTCTCAAAAAAAAAAAAAAAAAGAAAGAAGAAGAAAGGGCTATGAATTTGGAGCCAAGTCAGCCCAGAGACACTGAACATTGGGACTAACAGCATGAAATGTAAGGGCTTAGAGATTTGGAGGAGGAGAGAATTAGAAGGCAACAGAGGGCCAGGGTGGTGGCTTACATCTGTAGTCCCAGCACTTTGGAAGGCCAAGGCAGGCAGATCTCTGAGCCCAGGAGTTTGAGACTAGCTGGGCTGGGCAACATGCCGAAAACGTTTTCTCTACAAAAAATGTTAAAAAGCCGGGTGTGGTGGTGTGCGCCTGTGGTCCCAGCTACTTGGGAGGCTGAGGTGGAAAGATGGCTTCAGCCTGGGAGGTGGAGGTTGTAGTGAGCCATGAATGTGTCACTGCACTCCAGCTGGGTGACAAAGTGAGGCCCCAAACAAAATAATAGAGAAGGCAATAGAGACATGAGAGGCCTTGAGGAGATACCAAGGAGCTGGGTTCTGAAGAATTTGTAACTCCAGGGATCTCGTGAGGAAGCCAGAACAAGGCAACTCGGGGCAAGCACTGAGAGAGCTGGGGGATTGACCCTGTGGGGTAGAGGAAGGGGTCAGTACCTGTGCGTGGAATTGTCTGCAGTTGGGGGTGCAGCCCGTCCAGTCAGAGGCCCATGCTGTCCCAGGCGAAGCCCCTGAACTCGGCCTAGCCCCAGGCTGTGGAGAAGCCTCGCCAAGCCCCCTGCAGTCAATGTCCCATTCTCTCCGTACAGGCCAAACAGCTGGGCCAGGTAATGGCTCTGCTCCTGCTCAGCAGGGCCCAGGTTGGGGACTGAGCCCCCTACCCAGCCCAAGACGACCCACACACAGAAGCTGGCCAGCAGATGACTCACTGGGTACCCCATCATTGCAGGAGAAATGGCTCAGGGGCTCTGGTTCTGGCTCCTATTCTCCCCGAAGCATCCTGAGGACAGTGTCCTGGAAGAACAAGGATTGGGCTGGAGCTGCTGCTCCGCTCTCCAGCTCGGGGCCATGGGGGAGCCAGAGCTCCTTGTACCCGCCCCACACCAAGTCCAGCAGCAGCCCCTACTGCAGCCTCCTCCTTCCCTCACACTGCCTCCTTCAGGAGCAGCCTCTGGCTTGCCGGTTCCTAGAGCACCTCCCTGACTCGGAGCTCTCCCCATACTTCATCCAGAGCTGATTGTCTATCCCTTGTCCCCAAACCCCACCTCTCAACTTTGCCCCACCTCTCTATCCCCCCTCAATCCCCAGGGCCTCACCCCCACTGGCAACGTGAGAGCTGTCACCTCAGGTCCCCTATTAGGCCTTGATGTGGATATTAAGCAGTTCCTGAGTCAGGGAGGGGGAAATCCAGACTGAGCCTCCAGGTGTCCAGGTAGAATAGAGGCCACGTCACATAGAAGGCTGAGATGGACACTTATCCCCTCCTAGCCCACCTGCCTTGGGGTGGAGTCAGGGGTGGGGCCAGTGTGGGAAGGCTCACAACAGAGAGGAGTTAATGGTTCACTGGTCTCTGGGGTGGGGGTCAAAGGTCAGTCTCTGCTGGGCCTCTGAGTAGGGAGGGGCCACCTTCTGCCCTGGGAAAGCCACATGGTTAAGGAGAACCTGGGCCCAGTTTTTTTTCCTCTTAAATAATTCACCCCACTTTTAACACAGTACCATTTTAGCCCTTTCCAGCACATACTTCCGCCCCACCTACCTTACATCTGGCACTGAATTCATCTCCAACCCCCATCCCCATATTCCCTGGGAAGGTTGGACTCAGGTGTCCCTAACCTGGGGAGGAGGGGGAAGAGGCAGATGAATGCCAAGCCCAGATGCATGCATGGGAAAGAAGCTGTTCTTAGCAACAGCTTCTCACCCCAAGGAGAGAAAGAGCTGGAGCTGTAGGGATCGATGACCAAGAAAGGGGACGCTCTGCAGGGGAGAAGAAACAGGGATCTGGGCTCCCCTCTGAAGTCTGACCTGACGTAAAATCAGGCAAGCAAAGTCTGATCGGGGTGACCAGTCCGTGGGGTTGAGGTTGGCATTACCTGATAGCAGGAGACAAGAAAGACACCCAGAGGAAGGGGGACACAGCCTTCTTGCTTCCAGCTGGGGGCGCAGGCAGGCAGGCGGGCGGGCAAGGGTCACCTGCAGGGAGCAGGTAGGGGAGGGACACTACCTTAAAGGGGCAGGTCTGCTTTGCCTGGGCCTCCTTATCTGTAGCCTATCTTCCTTCCACCTTCCAGGGACACCCTACCTTCCCAAATGCCTCGTTGCTAACTTCCTTTTCCCACAAAAAGCAAAGGAGTCCAATACAGAGTAGAGTGGTAACATTTATTAGGAAAGAGAGATTTCAGTTAGACCCCCATGTCTCACACAGAAGAAATAGATGGTAACTGCCATTTCTTTTCTTTTCTTTTCTTTTTGCTTTTTGTTTTTTGAGATGGAGTTTCACTCTTGTTGCCCAGGCTGGAGTGCAATGGCACAATCTCAGCTCACTGCAACCTCCACCTCCCAGGTTCAAGCGGTTCTCCTGCCTCAGCCTCTTGAGTAGCTGGGACTACAGACATGAGCTACCACGCCCGGCTAATTTTGTATTTTTAGTGGAGATGGGGTTTCTTCATGTTGGTCAGGCTGGTCTCGAACTCCCGACCTCAGGTGATCTACCTGCCTTGACCTCCCAAAGTGCTGGGATTACAGGCATGAGCCACCACGCCCGGCCGGTAACTGCCATTTCTAAAGAGGAAAGAGAGCAGGTGGAGGGTCCTGATTCCCAGGGGACAGGTAGTTCAGCTGGACAATGGGGGAGTACAAGATTAGGGTTGATAAGGCCACTGCTCACCACCCCTCCACTGAAGTTCAGTGGCTAAAATACTGCTACACCAGCCAGCCAGTAGAAGGCTATCTTGCTCTCCAGCAGACACTTGGAAAGTGGTTGGTGGCAGGAAGGAAGAATGTCATGCTATCTCTTGCTGCTCCTCCGGGTTTCTTTGCCGTTACTAACAGTGTTGCTGGAAGGCCCAGGTGGGCCTGCAGGTGTGTGGTTGGGCTGGCTTCGAGTGATTCGGGTGCTGGGCGGGTGGGAGGGAGTATGAGAGGGATGTGGGCCACCACCGGGACCTGATGGGGCACTCAGTCCATTCCCGTTCTGGCTCTCAGAGGCTAGTTGTTGGAGGAGAAGGAACAAAGGAATTAGTTAACATAGAAGAGGGTTCCATCCCAAGACCTGCCTCCATGCCCTAAAGAGTGGCACAGTCTTCAGCATGCACAACTGCACCTTAAGGCCAAATGGGCCAAATGCAAAAGACAGTGGGCTGCGAATATGAACCAAGCTCCAGAGAAGCCTCACACGATCATTTTGGAAGTTGCTACATGAACCTTGGTATGATATTTTTCTCTTGTATTTATCTGTCTTATTGGGAATCAGACCTAATTAACTGTTTGGTTCTAGGCTCAAGGACCTCTGACAAAAATGCCCTTTTACCAAAAGTGATTGTAAAACTGGAGAAGGATGACAAGGGGAAAGGCCTGAAGTATCTGTGTTAAAATATGAGGCACTTAAAAA